GTACTGTCTGTACTGTTCCTTTGCTATTTTGTAAAATGTTGACTGTCTGTTAATATTTTCCTCCTCTTATTTTTAAAATAAAAAAATAAAAAATAAAACATCTGTAAACTCTAAAAAAAAATTGTCTTGGACTTTATGTCAAAAGATTTGTGGGAAAATATTTGCTCTGTCTTCTACTAATGACTTTGAAACAAAGGGTTCATTACCAACTGACTACAATGACTGTTGACTTTAACTCTCCAGTGAATAATTATAAGAACTTACACTTGAGAGGTTATCGTTATTTTAAATTAGAGAAAAATTATCTTCTAATTAGAACTTCTGGAGAAAAAAATAGCAGTAGGGATTTCTATCACAGTCTGGGTACAATAAGATTACTTTAAAAATATTGAATATTAAAATTCACCATCATTGCCAAACAAAGAAAATGTCTGAAGCTCAGAAGAGCAGGCATGCTAAGATTTTACAACCAAAGGAAAAATAGTGGCTAGCACCATGCATACTACATGGTTTATATATCATTCTAATTTCCCAGTATCACTTAATTGTACCTTTTCAGTCACACACTCTAAGAAAATCAAATTGTAAAAATTAATGAACATCCTGAGTTTATCCGATACAGTGAAAAAACCTAGGAAACAGATTCACATAGTTATGGCAGAAAATATGATATATAACATAAGCATAGTTAACCTTTATGTGACATACAACTCAAAACACTAGAAGAAATGATTTTGAAGATTTTTAGCATATAAAACAAATATTTGAAGAAACAGCTATAATTAAATTCATTTAAACTTTATACAATATAAAAATGTGCAAAACTGCATAGGAGTTCCCATGAAGAGGTAGAATTTTTATGTTTTCACGTATTACTTAAAAATAATTATAATTTATAGTAATGAAAAAAACATAACCAAGGAACACCAGAAGTAGGATGTGAAATTTCCAAGCCGTGCTATTCAGTCGGAGAAATAATTCTACCTCAATTAATGTAAGTGTAGATAAGATTTACTCACTACACATTGTAATGAAGCCAAATATGAGAACAAAAAGAAAGAGATGTCCAGCCTAGATCTAGTGGACAGCTCAGGCTTTCGGTTGCTGGGGTCGAATACCAGACACTTTCAAGTTAGAGAAGGTTTATTTGGCCCCTGGTTTCAGAGGTTTCAGTCCATGGTCAGAGGGCAGCAAATGAAAGCACCATGGCAAAAGGGGAAGGAGGAAGACTACTTCCCTCTTCACGGTCAAAAACAGAGAAAGCAAAAGAGGAGCCAGAGAGAAGGGGTCACCCTGCAATAGCACACTGCAGGCACCCACTTCCACATTTGTGTGCCACCTCTGACCTGCACATTCAGCTGTGAACTCATCAATGAATTTGTCTGCCAGCGAATACAATGGCTCCCTATCTACTCACCTTCTGAATACCCCACCTGAGACCGTGAGAGACTTTAGGGCATATTTTAGATCTAAACTTGAACAGATGTAGTACAATAGAACTGAGAATTCCTCCTTGAAAGTGGTCATCCAACCAAATATAGCACTATAAAGGAAACTCAGAAGTGATGTCTAGCCTAGAGTTACCAATTAAAAATATATAATGGGTGCCTATATTTAGTATTCACTCTCAAATTCCCCAACTCTTCCATGATCTCAGGCTATTAAGCAATAGGTTATTATATGCAAAGTTAACAATCAAACTATTGCTCAGAAGGTAAGAAAAGGTACTAAATCTTCTGTCAATTGCAGAAACAGGTTATGAGACACTGTTTAACATGGAAGCAACCTAGTCCAATATCTTTGTTAATACCTCAGATAAAGAATCAACTGAGCATAGCAGGAGAGAAGATTGTACAACAGTGGATTCCATTTCTACAGAACTACCATCCACAGAAGTGTCTGTTAATGTCCTGCTCCACCCAGTTTCATTTAAAATGGGTTGAATATGCTAAGCAATACTAAGACCCCATATTTTCATAGAACATTATAACACTGCCAAAGCATCCTTGCACTGACTGTTACATGAGCTTCACCACAAATCAGTAAAGGAGGTCAGGAAGAAATATCCCAAGAGCATTAGTAAGATTATATGTGTTAGATTATTTCAGCAAAATCTAAGCATTTTTCAGTTCATTTGTGGCAAAAGGACAGTGCAGATCTTGTGATACCAAATTATTTCCCATTCTTTAATCTCACATTGTTTATTTTAGATTTCCCTGGCACAGGTGTATAAGTCATCTTCCTTGATGTGATCTTCATGTGAAAACCTCACACCTCAAGAATAGTACCCCCAAAAGTAAAGGGACAAAAGTAATGCATCTTTATTCTCTCAAACAGAAAATTTCTCCCACAGTACAAGATTGAGAGTATAAATTTCACAGAATGAAAAGAGTAAAACACATCAGACCTAATTAAAATCAGTGAAAATATTTTTTAAATTTTTAAAATATTAAAATATTAATAAACTAAAGCTGTGACATAAGTAAATACAAAAATATACTGAATAGATTTTTCCTGTGGTATTATAATTAAATATACAAAATTACTAATATTGAAATGTTAAAATAAAAATATACAAAGGAAAATATATCAGACATGCTAACTGTACAAGGAAAATCCTGCCAAGTGAAATTTAACAAGTTTTAAAGTACACCAAAAATATTTTGATGATTTCCTAAGCTCTACGTTGTGTTTAATTTTTTCTATATTATTTTATTTAAACCCTATAAGAGGGGCTGGGGATTTAGCTCAGCGGCAAAAGCGCCTGCCTGGCATGCGCAACGTCATGAGTTCGGTTCCTGGTACCGGAGAAAAACCAAAAAAAATAAAAAAATAAAAAAAAATAAACCCTATAAGATAAACAGGATTATTATTTCATTGCAACATAGGATAAAATTAAGGTAGAAAAGAACAACTTGCTAACAATCAGGAAATTATCTTAACAGAGTCTAAATTTATACTCATTCAGTGTAATTCTCATTTTCCTAAACTCTCTAGTCATTTAGGATGACCCCATCAGTAATGAATGTGAGCATTAAAAACAGATCTGTTGTGCTTAGAACCTCACTAATATTCCAGAATGCACTTGTATTTAGTGACACAGCCACGTCTCTTGACAAAAAAATTATTTACTCTCGTCCTTTGTAGAAAGCACATTCATTAATATGCATCATTACCAAAAT